TCTCTTTTGTAGAGGAGAACACCATTAACATGACCACCACCAGACCAATCCCCCCAGGTATTTTTGAAACAATTTGGAAAAATAAATAAATGAATAATAATAAACATTAAATGTAAATTCATGAATTCCCACAGCTGTGTTTTATCCATTTGGAGCTGGAGACATAGAGAATGATCGTTCTGATGATGGGAGTTCATCTGTGATCTATCTTCTGCACCATTTCATATTTTTTGGACAAACATATAGTCAAATATATGTAAGTCTGTGTACATGAATGAAATAAATCAGAAAATAATGATTACATGCATTTATTATTTGTTACTTATGTTTATGTACTTATTTTGTTTAAGTATAAAAATAAATTGAAATATTACGGTTTCATTAATAGTCTTGTAGCCTATTTCATAGTTAATGATGTCCCTGATCCCACATGAATCTTGTCACACTGAATCTTACATATTTTAAAAGAAAATGTGTGTGATGAGACGTCTTTATCTGTTTCAGGTCAACAACAATGGACACTTGACTTTTAATGGACCATTTCACAGCTACACTCCATACCAGTTCCCAGGTTATGGTGAAATAGACCTCATCGCTCCATTCTGGACAGATATTGATAACGAGGGCAATGGTGTTATTTCATATCGTCAGTACACGTCTGGCAGTGTTCTTACAGAGGCCACACAAGACATTAACCAATACTTTCCTGAACTGAGCTTCTCTGCTACTTGGGTCTTTGTAGCAACATGGGACAGAGTTGCATATTTCCCTCTGTCAGGAACAGTAAGAATCCCCGCTTGATTTTGTTTAATCTTCTTGTCTTTGCAATACATTATATGATTATTGTGACATCTTGAAAACTTGTACTGACTAGCACTTTTACAATGGTCTTTTTTCAGGAAACATCTTTTCAAGTGGTTTTGATTTCAGATGGCCATTACACATTTGTTTTGATGAATTATGGAACAATTGCTCCAAAAGATTATGTACAGGTGTGTACAACATGGTAAATAAAATATAGAGATTTAGAAGACTATTTAAATAAGATGCTGAAAGTCTTTTATCATAATTTATCACAGGCTGGTTATGACACCATCAACTCCAGATACCATTTCTCAATTCCTGGATCATTCTCGAATAACATCACAAACTTGACATACAGCAGCAATGTCAATGTGCCAGGCAGATGGGCTTTCAGAACAGATCATGGATCACGGGGTTGTCAGTTTAATGGTAATGTTTTTGCTATTCTCCTGAAGTGCTTTTATTTATTCCCTTAACATCCAGTAATTTTGAGTTGAAAGCTATGTGAAACTGCTGTTTTGTAGGTATTCCAGTGCAGCTTGAAGACTCTTTCTGGAGTGATGCCACCTGCCAGCAGAGATGCACCTGCACCAGCAGTGGCCTCCAGTGTAGCCATGAGCCCTGCAGTTACTCCCAAGCCTGCCGTCCAGCAGCCTTCCAATACTCTTGCCAGAACATTCAACGGCAAACCTGTACCATCTCTGGCGATCCTCACTACTA